AACTTTATTTTAATTTGATTTGCAATATTTCTGTTTTATACCTTTTGATTTCTTTTTAGATTTTTAGCATTTTGTATACCAGCCAAGGACTCTGGTGGCAAGTCATCACTAGATCAAGTGAATTACATAATTAATTCAGGGTGCTGTTTCTTTAAAAGCCTGTATTGTTTGGGAAAACCTGCATGTATATTATCTTGTTTACAAGCTCTCTGAGTTGTACTCAGTGAGAAACTGCAAGCACTGTCTCTGCTATCTGGGGTTGGTAGACCTTCCAGAATGACTTGTGAAAAAAAAATACAGACCAAAAATAAGAATGCATATGGTGTAGATATGATGCCAAGTTTCTCAATAATTGAAATGATCAAATCATAGAGATCAAATTATAGAGATTGTCACAGGGGTTAAGTACCTATATATCCAAAATAAAGATAGGTAAGAGAGCCAATGGAAATATAAGTTGTCTAGGGTTAGGGAGAATTTAATTAATAATAATTAGAGTAATCTAACACATCATGGTAGCATGGCATTCTCTCTTCAATGCAGTATTGAGCAGGAAGTTCTTCTGAGGTCAGGTTGCTTCCCACAGCTATTCCTTGAGTCCCTGCTTTCAACTGGACCTTTGATCAATGAATCAATTGCATAGAGTACAATAAATGTACTCCGTAGCCCTCTAGTTAAATAAATATATAGCTAGTCAGAAACATCCCTTTCTTGACTGAGGGGAGTGACTGATTGTTTAGGATATTACGTAAATAATTTCATTGGTTAATGGAATTGGTTAATCATAAATGTCTCATCTGATTTTTTAAGTTTTCCATTGCTAAACAGATTTCTTTCCCAGGGAGAAAAGTTCTCATCACTGCCAAAGGATTTTGCTTAAAGCTCAAATCACATGCTATGTGATCACGTCATGCTATATCTCAGTAGAATGATTATGCTAACAACTCTCCCCTGATGAAAAGCTTTGTAAACAGAGTATATGTAGTAAAAGTCAACCTAGCTGCAAAGAGCAATAGAGGATACTTTAAAAAAAACCTTCAAGAAGTGTAAGAACAGGGAAAGGCACTGGATTCTCAGACCTTTTTGATTCCTAGTTTGGATCCAACAGTTACGGTAATCAGTTTTGTGGTCTTGGTTCTTTTTGTTACATGTTTGTATAATTTACACATGAGATCCACCCAAATAGTTTTCTGTTTCACATGACTCCTGCATGAAAGATTGAAGAGAGCTTAATTGTAAATGTGATTACAGGATATTATCTGCAATAGTAGGTAGGGAGAAAAAAAGTTATTCCTTCTAGTTGATAACAGTGTAGATTGGCTTATCTTAGACAGAAATTTTGAATATCAATTTTAAATAAAACAAACCACTGTTATTTTTTATCAAAATTATCAAGAATCATATCACTTTAAGACTCACTATAAAAACTTTGGTAATGCACCATAGATTTTTGGGAACAGTTTCATAAAATCACTGATGCGTTAAACTGAGTTGAGTCTGCATAAACACATATGTGGAGGAATGAAATTGTAAACAAGTCAAGGCAATGAAATGCAAAAAATACTGTGTTAATTTTCTGGGTCAACCACAGCCGTTCAGAAGCAGCTGATGGGTGACAGCAGAAACTTTCCATGAACCAATGAGCTAATTTAGGCATGCAATGTGATTTTTTTTAAAAAAAGAAAAAAGCAAAACCTTTATCTCTGTTCAAGTGACAGCAATTAAACACTGAATTTCTTGAAGAAAAGTGGTTAAGAATTTTCCTGCCCAAATCTGCCTTTCTGTACAAGTAACTTTAGTTGAGAAAGACCATCCTAAGGTCTATGATGTTCTAAAAAGTTAAAGTGTTCCTTTAATGGTGTATTTTTCTTGCAAAATTATAACACTTTGTTATCAAGAGATGGCCTGTGTCATGTTGGAAGGCAAAGCAGATATATGAATTTCCGACATAGTGTATGGTAGTACTAAGTCTGTGAAAATACTCCTAGAATAGAAGTGGGAGGAATGGCATTTGGGTTTGTCAGAAGATCTAGTAGCTAGCTCATATATCTGTTTATTTTAAATCAGTCTATAGTATTATAAAGGGACGCGGTGGCTCAGTGGCTAAGACGCTCAGCCTGTTGATCGAAATGTCAGCAGTTCAGCGGTTCAAATCTCTAGTGCCGTATAACAGGTGAGTTCCCATTATTTGTCCCAGCTTCCGCTAACCTAGCAGTTTGAAAGCATGTAAAAAATGCAAGTAGAAAAATAGCAAACACCTTTGGTGGGAAGGTATAACAGTGTTCCATGCGCCTTTGGCATTTAGTCATGCCGACCACATGACCACGGAGATCACTTTGGACAGTGCTGGCTCTTCAGCTATGACACGGAGATGAACACTGCCCTAGAGTCGGAAACAACTAGTACATATGTGTGAGGGGAACCTTTACCTTAATATTATACAATACTAAACTTTGCACAAAAACTTAAGAAAATATCTAAGACAGACTTAGATATCAGAACCTTCTAAGTGGGGTGGGGAGAAGAAATGTTTTGTGGCTAATAACTCAGAGATGTGTAGGAAGAAAGAGAATGAAGAAGTGGAAGTCACGATGGTCATTGGTCATTCTAATTCAAAACTGTATGAGTAGTTTTGACTGTAAGCAGCAAGTCTGACAAATTATGCAAATCATTGCAGTCATTAATCAAGACTGAAAAAGGAAGACACATGACTGAAATATACATCCTTTGTAAGTGATTGCTAGATAATGTATGGAAAGGAAGGTCTTACACTATTCCTGTTTGGAGAAAGCCTCCTTCTAAGTTACTTGCCCTGCTGTAAAAAAGATGATTGCTAATTTGATCACAGAAATATTGTAAGTTGGGGAGTCAAAAGAAAAGAAAAACTATTGTCAGGGGAGAGTACACCAACAGAGTTAGGAAAATTTTGAAATCTAAATTGAATGGTGGGAACACAATCAAGGCCATAAATACCTGGGCAATACCAGTTATAGGATAAACAGCTGGTATAGTTAACTGACACAAGCTGATTTGGACATTTTAGACCGAAAAACCAGGAAACTAATGACAATGCACTACAGTTTACATCCACGTGGTGATACTGATAGACT